TATTGTCGAAGAAACATCTGGAGACCATGTTTTTTGAAGCTGTATGTAAAAAAGCACCTTTCCTTTTTTGAGAAACTGAGGATCAAAATCATTCCCACACTGGCATTGGTAAAAGATGAAAAAATACAAGATTATGTTGTTTGACTTACTGGCCTAGAAAATACAGATGACTTCACCACAGAAACTTTAGAATGGAGGCTTGGTTATCCTATTAATAATATTCTTAATTACAATGGGAATTTAATGGAGCCACCATTTCAGAGCCAAAAGAAATTTGGAACAAACTTCCCAAAGCTGGAAAAGGAAACTATCGTGGAAAGAAATACGATTTGGACTCTGATGATGGAGAGCAGTTATAATTCTTTGTAAAGTGACTTTTTTACTTATGCTTACTTTAGAATTAGATGTACTTTCTAAATTCTGTTGACTTTTGATACATTGATCATCTAATGATCTTATTTTAGCTTTATACGGTTGCATCAAGTTGAAAGACATCTTTAATATTTTCTGTGTGGAGATCATGTGTAAGTTGAGGAAAACTGCTGAGTTCTTATATTATCTGGGTATGAGAATTCTCTATTTTTGCAATTGATTTTTATCATAATATGAGTTTTTATGTCTTTGTATCACTCACAGTTGTGTTTTTAATCCACTGGTTTGGAAATAGAACTTCTGCGAACAGTTTCAGGACTAATTATCATGCATCATTTACTTCATACAACAGGTCAAGTATCATTTAATGGTATAACAGACTGCAATTGTAAATGAATTATTAAGCCTTTTCACTTCTGTAATATATAACTATTAACAAGCTGATAAAACCAACAACAATCAAAATCACTTATAAATAAAGATGCAAAAATTCTCCACTAAAACTAGTAAACTAAACTAATAGCATACATTATGACCAAATGTGATTTATCCCTGGAATGCAAGGGTGGTTAAACAAAAGAAAATCATTTAATGTGGCATACCACATTATAGAATAAAGAAAATAAAACACCACACATGATTATCTCTATTGATGCAGAAAAGACATTTGACAAAATTCAATACCCTTTCATGATTTAAATAAAAAGATGCAGACAACTAGAAATGGAAGAGAACTTCCTCAATATGATAAAGAGAATTTATGAGAATTCCATAGCTAACATATTACTCAATTGTGAAAAACTGAAGGGTTTCCCCTTAAAACCAGGAACAAGGCCACTGCAGTTCAACATTGTCCTGAAGTTCTAGACAAAGCATTTAAACAAGATTAAGAAATAAAAAACAACCAAATTAGAAAGGAATAAATGAAAATATCTGTTTGCAGATATTATCTATACATATGTATAAAAGGATAATATGCAAAGTGTCCCCTCAGGAGTTCAACCAGGAAACCAGGAGTTCTATCGCTTGGTATGACATGCATTGACCACCAGGAGGTGGCACAGAGCAAATGAAGGCCCAAGCTGGCAGCTGAAAGGCTCTGATTGGCTCTGATCACCCACCAGACCTAGAGATCCTACCCATGCATGAATTTTGTGCACCAGCCATCTAGTCTTAAATATATATATATATATATATATATATATATATATATATATATATATATATATATATATATAAAATCCCAAAGAATTCATAAGAATGGACAAATGACTTTATCATAGTTGCTGAATATAAGATCAACACTCAAAACTCAGTTGTGTTTTTATGCATCACCAATGAGCAATCCAAAAATGAAATTAAGGAAATAATTCTATTTACAATAGTATTCAAAATAATTTTATGTAATGTGAATTTTACCTCAATTTTTTTAAAAGGGGAAAAAAGGAAAAATTAAGGAAGTCTAAATGAACTATGGATTGAGTTAGTAAAAATGTATCAATATTGGTTCCTTAAGTGTAACAAATGTACCATACTAATGTAAGATGTAAATAACAGAGAAAACTGTGTGCAATGGGGTATATGGAAACTCTGTAATGTTTGCTCAATTTTTCTCTGAATCTAAATTTATTCTAACAAGCTTGTTAAGTAAAAAAAACAAAAAAAAAACCAACCCTTTATTATCCTAAGTAAATTTTGGATCAAGAAGGAAATAAAACTGCAGTGAAAAAACATAAAATAATGGCCATGTGAAAGTGACATAAAAGTGAGTTGTAGTTAAAATGGTACTTTAAGAAAATTCCTAGCCTTAAATATTTTCATTACAAAACAAGAAAGAAGAAAAAATCTAATCATTGAACTCAAGAACAGAAAAGTAAAATATTCTAAAATAAACCATTACAAAATATTAATAAATATAAAAAAACTAATTATTAAAAAAATGAAAACCATAAAAGTGATACATCCAGGAGATTAATTCTTTGACATGTCCAATCAGGAAGAAAAAAAAAAGAGAGAGAGAGAGTGAGAAAAAAAGCATAAATCGTTAAAATAAGTAATGAAAAAGGGTTATCCACATAGTTATAGAGATGATTTTTTAAAAGTACAGGAGAATATCATGTATGCTAATACATTTGAAAAATTTGATTAAAAAAAAATCACATGAACAAAACAACCAAAAGTGGGTGCCAAGGATAAAAAGTGTTTAGGTTTGCTCTTTAAACATTTCAAAAAGCAAATAAAGCCCATTAAACTTTTTGAGAGCATGGTAAACTGGTATTTTTTTTATTTTTATCAGAAAATAAAAAATACAGTCTGATTTCATTTAAGAATATGAAAGTAAAATTTCTCAGTAAATTACAGACATTTCTTATTGGTGTAAGATCAGTGAATTTGGACACTTTTTGCATACCACTGTCGGTTGTAACTGAATTGTGGTCTGCTACTAGCGCTGTCATAACAGGGAGAAAGCTTTTTGCACAAAACGCAGGGACAGCTGCTTTGTTTGAGTATCTGGTTGCTCTGCTGGGAGAGGGCTCTTCGGCTGTGCCACATTGCTTCCATTCTTTTCTGTTAATTTGAGTTGTGAACTAAATTGTGAAGCCAAAATAATAGGGGAGAGAGTCTAAGCCATGTGGATTGAAGAGAAAATGAGGAAATGTGTAGGTTTGATTTGTTTTGATCAATTTATTATTTTAACCAGAGCAAACATATATATATACTTTATAACGATAAATCTACCTTTATACTGGGGCCATGATTTTTGATATCACAGAATTTAAAAAAAATGAAATTATTGTATAGTGTAACAGCATAGTACTACATAGTTTAAAACTATATAGAAAACTATATAGTTGTCTCTAATGATATAAAAAAGATGTTGAATATGGTTTTACATGAAGTCTTAATACACCTTTAGCAAACTTGGGTTAGAAGTGTATTTGGTAGTTATTTGGTTTTTATAACAAGCTTATTTACTTCAAACCAATAGCCAACGTCATTCTTAATGTTAACCACTAGGGAAATTCCCACTGAGATCAGAACGAGACAAGGGTGGCTGCTATCTCTTCTGTTATTAAACACTGTTCTAGAAATTCTGGACAATGTGGTGAGAAGAAGAAAAAAAGGATACAAAATTATATATTTTTTACCTAGACATCACATGTAAATTACCTAAAATAATTTAGAATAAAGGATCAATATAATGGCTAAATGCAAGATAAAATTACGAAATCAAGAACTTTTTAAAATCACCATCCCACTCTGAGAAAATAAAACATGCTGAAATGCAGTTTACTATAAACAAAAACCCTATGTGTTTCCAGAGGCCTTAAGTACACGGAGAGAAAGAGTGTTTGCAGACAGGCAAGTTTTCCACTGCAAGGATGATTCTTTCCATTGAATAAGTGTATGTTTTATGAAATTCCAACCAGAACTCTTTGGGAGGAATTTAACAGATTTGTTTTAAATCTTCCAGTTGGCCATCTCTTTTATTGTCACAAGTGCTTAAAAGAAGTAACTGAACATTCCTTTAGGGCCTGGTCAATTGCTAAGCAGGAACCTCAGTCAGGATGGACTTGATGTACAGCCCACATCCCTCCTGCATGGAGACAGACACCTGTGTGGGCCTGTGAACAGGTAATAAATAGTCCACCCTGGAGGGAGTGAGGCAATGGAGTGAACGAGTGAAGAGAAGGAAGACCTGGAAATAACTCCTGAGCTCCAGTGAATGACTTGGCTGCTCTGGCCCCTTGGCTAGGTCGTCTTCTTTTCTCGCCCATCATTTTGCGGTTCAGATAAGACATCTCACAATATTGTTTTAATGTAGTAAGAAGGCAGGGCAGTGGAAACAGAGAGCCATGGAAAAAGTGATATGAGATCATGTTTAAGCCCTTGTTCTGCCCTGAGCTGGAAGATCTTGTGATTGTTTTCCTCCAGGAGACAATAAATGGCAGCTATTAATATAACAATAGTGATAATGATTCTTGATGTTTAATCTTTTTGAACTACCAACATTTCCTAGGGTTATCATTAAAAATGCTATACAATCTTTAGTATTCATCTTTGTTTATGAACATAAAGATCAATTAGTAATAGAAGAAGACTGGATTACTCTAATTATGTAAGTTTAAATGTTTTAAGAAAGGAAATGGAAAATTTTCCATGAGGTTAATATTTTATTGTAAAGATATATTCATTAAATATATTTCTTAGAAAATGGAGAAATATAAACTTTAGTTAATGTTTGAATAAATCCACTGGATGAGACCGAATTGATCTTTAAAATTTTAACCCAAAGGAAGCATGACTATAAACAATATTAGTGTACTTTTCGACCTACTAAGATATTTGCAACTTAATTTATGTTAATTACATATCTCTTAAGTCTTACATTGTTATAAAACCACTCAGAGAGGATGTATGTTCCAGATATAAACGAAAAAAAAAAATCATTTCAAATAGATACAAATTCTATTTTAATAGTTGGGGAAAATGTAAAAAAAAAAAAAAATCACAGTATTTTAATTTTTCCTCTAGTTTTAACTAAGGACCCTATTTTGTAAACACCAAATTTCTAAGGATGACAATAAATACAAAGGCATTATTGAATCATGTCATAATTTACTCACTTAGCAGAAGCAAGAGGGGAATAAGTCAGCCACACTTCAGTTTAAGACATCCTGGCCACCTTGCTTAGGTTGCGAATCAATAGGAACTACAGAAATTTTTGCTCACCTCTTCTTCAGATTACAAGTCTTCCTTCACAGACTACTCCTCTTTTAAGATGTGGGCAGTTACAGAGTCTGAAAGCTTTGCACACAGGCTCTAGAATGCTGCCCAAACCTCCCTGAGCTCTCCCTTGTGTTGAACTGGGAACTTCCACTGAGAAATCCCCTGACTTGAAAACTTCCTTATTTGTAGCTATCAACGGCCAATCATGGCAACATATTGAAATGAAGCAAAGACTACCAGAAATTGTTCTGTAAACCACCCGTGACTGTAGCTCTGACTTCCTTTTGAAGCAGACACTTTACTTGAATAGTTAGTGCATTTTAAGAAAAATCCAGAAATTATAAACACAAATATTTTAGGTTTAAGCAAATTTTCATGTAAGAAAATTAAAAAAAATAAGTTTATTTGACAGTGTTTTTTGTTGTTTTGTTTTTTGTTGTTTTATTTTTAGCTTTTAAGAAGTCACTCTCCCTCCTAAGTAGTATATTTATAAGCAGAAGGCAAAGACTAGTTATCTTTGCTTTATGGTCAACAGGTCATTCAGTTGGATGAAGCCTAGTAATAATAATGTTTACGCTGGATTCCAGAGCCTGACCTCAGGTACTTAGAAGAAAAGGGAAGTAAAGAGGCTCTTATGACAGCTTTTTTCCTTGGGAACTAAGGAGCATGGGTGTATGCTCCAGCTTCTCGGGCTATTTGGAGTAAAATATGCACATGGAAGGCAGCATTGACGTTTTTCTTTGTTGTAAAATTTTAGAGCTGGAAACATTCTTAGACACCATCTGTTCTATTTCCTTTTCATTCAGATGAGGAAACAGGAAAGGATAAATCCTCAAAGTCACAAAGAAAGTCAGAGGCAAAACTCAGATGAAAATCTGAATCTTTTGAATCCGAGTGTGTGTTTTTTCTTTTTACAGTCCTATACTGTCAGCATCTCAAGTTATTAGTAGGAAAAAGACTGTAACCACAAAAAGACTAAGTCTCCTGGTTCAGTTCCCATATTTTTCAGATAAGGAGTCTGAGACCTTACCCAAAGTTCCTCCATCAGTAAAAGAGTTAGAATTTAGAACTTCTGATTCTCAGTCTAGTGACCTGTCCATTTGAAAACACCGCCCTCTGTTAAAATAGATGTTAAATATGCCTGAGATATTTCTACTCATGATGAAATTATTCTATAAAAAGGAAATAATTTTGAAAGTATCTAAAATGATGAATAGGCTTATGATTTAACAAGTTCCATTTACTCATCTGAGATAGAATGAACAATTATTTTCCTTCAGTGCCTAGTGTAATAATAACTACCTTACTGATATCAAACGTTAAGCTTTCTTGTATGCAATGGAAAAATAAAACCCAACTAATACTGCAAATGTAGAAAAAGAAAAAAGTAAGCCACTAGTGGAAGGAAAGTATGCTTCTCAAGAATTTACATTTTGAATGAACAGGATCTTATTTATTTATTTATTTATTTATTTTAAATATATTTTATTGATTTTTCACAGAGAGGAACAGAGAGGGATAGAGAGTTAGAAACATCGATGAGAGAGAATCATCGATCAGCTGCCTCTTGCACACCCCCTACTGGGGATGTGCCCACAACCAAGGTACATGCCCTTGACCGGAATCGAACCCAGGACCTTTCAGTCCCCAGGCCGACGCTCTATCCACTGAGCCAAACCGGTCCCAGCATGAACAGGATCTTAAAAACAAGACTTTAAAAAAAACCCCCAAAAAACAAACAAAAAAAACAACAACTGTGGTGACGTCTTAACTGGGAAATGCCCCTTTGATTTCTCCATCTGTGCCCCTTTCCTCTTCTATTCGCTTTGGCCTGTTAGCTTGGCTGATGCCCAAGCTTCAGCGGAAGTGCCAGTCCTGACGATTTGGCCTCAGCCTGGAGGGGCACTGCTTGAAAGAGGGTCCTGAGGCCAAGACAGAGAAGCTATAGTTAGAGATCTTTTTGAGGAAATTCTGTCTGAGTGAATGGAATTCTGCTCTTGGCAAAACATGGGAGGCAGATGGAACTTTTTATCTTTTTTGTTTCTTGTGTTTCCTTTTTCTATTCCCTCCCCCTCCTTTTTCCCCTCTCAGAGTCACCTGGGCAGATAGAAATGCAGATTCCTGTAGGGGAGAAAGGAGCAAACTGGCACGAAGCCACAATCGGCAAGGGTTAGGGTACAAATGACTAGAGTAAGAGGGGACTTGAAGCCCAAATGAGAGGAAGGAAGGAAAAAGTCAGGTCCCCATTTGAGCTGAGGTGAATGGCCAAGGGGTTGCTAATCAAAAGATGAAGAGATCACTACCGTGAGCCACAGGATTCTCAGGGAGGTCTGGGAGAAAGGCCTCCCTAAGAATTCCTGGAAAGCAAAGTGTTACCTAGGGACAGTGGAGGGCAAGACACCCAGGGCTCTTAACTGCTGGCAGGGATTCAGAGCCAGAGATATGTGCAAGGTGCCGTGTGTGGGGAGAGGCAGTTCTCAGCTAGAGAAGCACGGACATCCAGGAACTGAACAAGCAAAAAGGATTTAGGGTTAAAGTTTGATTCTTTTCCCCATAGTCTCAGTAAGTTCACTATGATTTTTTTTTAGGCTAACCTTGGGGCATTTACTCTTTTCTATAACTTTATAAGTAAAGTTTTTCTAAAAACCTTAGTTTGCTTTTTAAAAAATTTTAAAAAAAATTTTATTGATTTTTTATAGAGAGGAAGAGAGAGGGACAGAGAGTTAGAAACATCGATGAGAGAGAAGCACTGATCAGCTGCCTCTTGCACACCCCCTACTGGGGATGTACCCGCAACCAAGGTACATGCCCTTGACCGGAATCAAACCCGGGACCTTTCAGTCCGCAGGCCGACGCTCTATCCATTGAGCCAAACCGGTTTTGGCTAGTTTGCTTTTTAACCTTTAGAGGTAAACAAATCTGTGAGTACTCAAATGTGGAATCTAATGAACAAAATAAACTGATGAAAAAAATAGTTACAGAGACATGCCTTATTTATTTGGCTTGTGTAAGCCTTTGAGTTTGACAGGCTTGCCCTACATCATTCTACAACCATGCCACAACATCCACCATCCTACAAAAATACAGGAAAAAATTGCACTAGCCCAGAAAGGTGATGATGAAATGCAATTCAGTAGCAGTCATACAAAAATGACTTAAGAGTTTTACATGAGGTAATGTTATGAGGATGTTAAAAAAATTCCACAATTAACTAAGACACTCCAGTCTTAGAAGTTCTTCTAGGATGAGGGAAACTGTGCTTTCAGACCCTCTTTCTGGGTACTCCTCTTTAAGAAAACCATGGACAAACTAGTTATTAAATACTTATCTATAATATATGTGTGTGATTGTAGGAATGAAGGATGTTTAACTTAGAGAAAATGAGAAAAAAGATCAATTCAAATATCAGTTATCTTTTTTTATATCACTCCCACACGGTCCTCAGACTAGTAAGTAGGAGCTAAAAGGAAAATCTTGATCTCTCATTACAGAGAGATCAACATTCCAACAGTAAAAATAATAGCAAGTCACTCTGGGAGATAATGAGTTCTCTGTTCTTGGGGAAAATCAAACATAAGATAAAGGACCACTTCTTGGGAATGTTGAAAGGGCATTAACATCTCACTCGAGATCATAATGACTAATATGGCATTTACTCTGGTCCTGGCATGATTCTAAGTACTTCCCATGTACTTCTTCATTTAGTCCTTAAAAGTACCCTATAAGGAAGGTGCTCTTTTATAGAAATAAAACGGAGGTATAAAGAAGTTAATTAACCAAGTACATGTAGCTAGTAAGTGGAGCCCAGCTATTTGTCTCCAGAATCTATACTCTCGACAACTTTACTGTAGTGCAGCTGGGATGTTCACTATAGTGCGCTTTATCAAACATAGAGTCCCTTATTCACTGGTAGCATGGAATTTTAGAAGAGGTGAAAAGAAACTCAAATGTTTACCTGACCACTTTTTATTCCTTCTTATGCCCAATTTTGAAAGCTTCCAACCTAACAAGAAGTTAATGAACTGAGAGTGTGCCATCTCTCATGCCTGTTCAATATCCACCCGTTTGGTATTAGGATGGGCATGTAAAGATAACATAATTGGAGACAGCAAGAGGATGGGAAGAGAAAAGGCGAGTGCTACAGAAGTGGAACCTTTGTTGAGAAATGGAAAAGGGAACTAGACTTGCTTTTGTTTCTCAAATGCCAATTTAGGAAAACCGGGCAGCCTTGGAGCAGAGTCAATGCCATTAGTTAAGGATGATGACAGCGCACAATTTGTTTCTGCAGATTTACTTATCCTTCAACTTTTCCTTTCCAATCTGTTATGTATAGCTTAGTAAGTCTCATAAAAAAAAAATCCATGATACTTTCTTCAGGGTACCAGGTGAGCTATCTAAGGCTCCATAAAACTTTACTATGAGTTGACAGAATTTCATCAGGGAGTGACGGCACCTCTCCTTAGAAAGGTCTGCTTAAGGTACTTCACATTCCTCTTTCTGTTTTAGTGGTCAGCGTAGCAATGCATTTAGTTTATTGCCAAATGGCCCTTTTATTTTGATCTATGTGCTGAGGTTCCTCCTATCTAAGGTTAATGAGGACCACCATCCAAAAGAAGGAGTCTCACAGACATTTTCTTTCTATATTGAGAAACCCAGAAAAGTGGTTCAGATATTAGAATAAAGAAAATAGAAATTACTTGGCTCCTTCATAGAGATCCAGAATTTACAAATGGTTGGAAGACAAATTTGCATTACTTAAAACATATTTCTTTTGGATTTACAAATTCATGAAATTGCAATGGCTGTGAGATGCTTAAGGTAATCAATAATTTTCTATGTGAGAACACACAATACAGTAATTTAGTTCTGATTCAGTTTCTAATGTTAATAGGATTAATAGCTCATACTTTTAATTCTCTGTAACTGAGGAGATAAAAAAAAAACCAAAACACGAGAGCTTATGGATAGCAATAATAGCGAGAGAGGAATTAGAGAGAAGAAAAAAGAGGGAGAGACAGGAAAGATAATCCATAAAGTCTGAGTTTACCTGTGGCTTTAATAAGTCAGACTTCCAAAAAGACTTGACCTTTGAAAACCGATTAG